CCCCAAAACCCCAAAACCCCAAAACCCCAAAACCCCAACATAAATATTTATTGAATTATAACTTTTTAAAATGAATGATCTCTCACCGTAAGAAATTGGACTCTAACCCTCATTTCTCCCAAGCATTTGAGCTTGAATACACTATTCAGGCATATTTAGATACCTGGATACTCCCTTGAGGAATATTAATTATGTGTTCTCAAGTTTACCTGGTCCTACCCTCATTTAGGTCAAGTCCAGTCAAGTTTGGAGCATCACCAGTCAAGAAATTCTGAGTCCAAAGCGTAAGAAATAATCTGTGAATTGATTTTTGAACCTAAAAATCCTTAATTTTCATTGGAAATTATTAACAAAATTTGTCATAGAACGTATTCGATTGGAATGAAGAATCCAAAAGACACAAAGAATTACGAAAGCAAAGAGCCAATAAAAAACGGATGCATGTAAAGTTCTGCACCAAATGGTGTCTCTTCGTCCCGGACGGAAAATTCAAGATCAACTGGGACCTCATGATCATATTTTTTACCATCTGGAATGTGTTCCTAATACCCTACCAGATCGCTTACCAGACTGAAGGTCATATTATCATAGTTATTATTGACCGCATTGTCGACTTCTCCTTTGTCATGGATATATTCATCAACTTCAGAACAATGTACTTCAGCTCAAACCAAAACCAACTCGTAAAAAGCTCTAAGTAAGATCGCAAAGCGATATATTTATCATGGCCGGTTTGTCATAGACTTAATAGCTTCATTCCCCTTCGATATAATACTTCTGATAATCAACCAAGACTCTCGATATTTTGGAGCGCTCAGAATGGTAAAACTAACAAGATTATTCAGGCTAGGAAGGATCATCACCTTCCTCAGAACTAGGAAATCGATTACCTACACATTAAGGATAGGCCAAGTTATTTTCCTGCTATTTATCTGCATACATTGGTTCAACTGTTTTTGGTTCACAATAATCTCAATTGATGACAACTGGTATCCTCCAAAAGATCTGGATTTCAAGTACACGATAATGTTTAATTCGAGCAATTATGATGAGTACGTCCTCACCTACTACTACGCGACTGCCTTCTCAATAATGACAAACGAGTCTTATCCCACAAACGAGAGCCAAATAACAGCGGCTATCATAATCCTGATTCTTGGAGGTACCTTACTTGGAGTTGTGATTGCTCAGTTCTCAAACCTGCTAGAGATCATGACATCTCAGCAACGCAAGAAGAACGAAGACCTGGATACCTTGAACTCATCAATGTTTAATTTCCGTATTACAGAAAGCATGCAGAAGAAGGTCCTTGACTTCTATGATTTGTTGTACGAGTCAAAATACCAGTACAAAGAGTGAGCATTTGAGACGTTGAACCACCCAACTCGTGAGATGATCTCTCTGTTCCAGATCCACGACACTCTCAAGAGTATCTCATTTCTTCACAAGAGCAACTTCGAGCTGGTCCGGAGTCTCTCTGAGAAAATGGTGATCGAAACCTTCCAAGCCGGTGACATCATAATAAAGCAGGATGATATCGGCACAAAATTTTGCCTCATCATCGAAGGCCTCGCAGAGGTCTTCCTCGAGTACCAAGACTATGATTTCTATACGCCTGCAGTCGTCAAAGAACACTATGACTCAAACCAAGCTGGTGTTACTAAGAAGAGCCGAAAAGATGTGCATAAAACTGAAGAAATTGTAGAACTCAAAATGCTCACAAACAGAGATGCGAGTAAATAACAATAAAACTTGTTGAAATATTCCCAGCAGCGAGAGGCTGCTGGACAATAGATTCGACTCTCTTCATTCGAACCGGCTGAGGGACACCTTGCCTCCTGAGAAGAAGTTTAGTGTCATAAATGAGCTCAAAAAGGGAGATTACTTTGGTGAGATATCTATATTAACCAAATACCTCACTGCCACAGCAACAGTCAGATCTATCGGCAACCTCGTCTGAGGAGTAATAAAATAAAGAAGATAAGGATGTCATCAACCTCTTGTGGAAAGACATGACCAAGTACCATGACAGGAACTTCAAGTTATGGCATTACCTCATCAAAACAGTCCCAAAACTTGAGAATCTCACTCATGAAACAATTCGAGAGATTTGTCTGAATTTCAGAAAGATAAAAATATTTGCAAATACCCGGATAATCCGTTCATTAGAAATTTCAAAATACTGCTATTTCATTTTAGAAGGGGAAGTAGCTGTCATCGTGACTAACGAGGTCCAGGAAGACTCCAAATCACCAAAGAGGGAGATGAAACATTTGTTTGAAAGGCTGCCTAAATACTCTTGATTCAACTTCACTAACGCTTACCTCGGTTACTACTCGTTATTCGAGTTCAGAGCTACTACAAACTGAAAGTTGCTTCAGCTTTCAAGAGACGATATGAACGAGATCTCAATGACTTTTCATGATTTTCAGACTGCCTTATTTGAAATGAAAGCTAATCTGTCCTTCTCTGGTAAGAAATATGACTACTGCTTACCAAGAACTCGAACTAAGAAGACCAAAGAGGGTAGCTCAATGAACTTCGATAACGAAGATTTTAAATTGCTCAACGACGAAGGCCTCCCTGGCCTAAAAGTTGAGTATGTCCAAGATATTTCAGCCACTAAATAAGATCCATAATGGTAAAATGAACCCAGTAAGATTCTCAGATGGTTCTCTCTCCTCAAATTGGAACCTGAATCTCACAAGAAATATGAACTCAACTAATAAGAGGCCAAATAGCAACAAAAGAGCAAATAACCCCTTCGAGCTCATGCGAGAAAGCTCAGAGTTCTCCATAGGGCTTGAGAAGATGAAGACTAATGTCTCTACGTTCAAGCCAAGATCTATCTCCCCTCTGAACCCCAGTTCGATCAAGGTTTCCTTCAAGAAGATCCATGAGTTCTTCATCGAAATCATAAAGACTAAACCTAGGGAACTCATAAAGTATCTCTACGAAGGCTGGAGCATCTTCTGAATAATAGACATACACTTTTACCAAAGGATGACCCAGAACATAATCTCATTGCAGAACAAGGAGATGAGAGCGCTTAACTTATCCAAGAACTATAAACTGCCTCAAGTAGAGTTAAAATAACCAAGGCTATGACGGCTTTGTACGCCAACAAAAATTCATGGAGATCTGGCAAGATCTTGACACAAAATTCAAACAAACCAGCAAGAGATTCTCCAAGTATATCAAGAGGACGAATCAGAAGTATTCTGATCATGTAAAATCCGTCCTAGAGGCCTCTTATCATTTCGATAAAAGCTTATTCAGCAGAAGGTATTGGAAAAGAGTCGAGTTCTTACAGTAAGAAGAATGAATAATCCTATAGGAATACACTCAAGTTTGGCAAAATTGCCCTGAGATATGAGAAGAAAACTATTTCGAATCTCATAGCTCTCCTCACTAGAAGTAACACCTTGAAGAATAAGATTAGTAGAGACCAAAATCTACACAAAAAGTAATATTTTAGCATAACTTATAGTGAGATCCACCTCGAAAGAAGAGACTCCACCAGTTTTTCTGAAGAAAGCTCATCCAAGGAGCTAACAGAGGAAGATATCGGGACTATTTCATACAAAGAATGAACTAGCGAGGTCCTTACTAGAAAATATTGGGAATCAGAAGAGAGCGAATGCTCCAGTCTATCCTCAGTGGACATCAGCAGTCTCCTTCGTGCTTATGACAACAAGATGAACTTGTTCTACGAAGAATTCGATTTCTGATACGGAGGCACATAGAAATCCCAAAACGATCCAAATTAATTCATATTTAAGCATATCAGCAAATTCGAAAACTTCAATGGTTCAGAAGCAGCCTGGGGTTTTGGGGTTTTGGGGTTTTGGGGTTTTGGGG